AGAGAAAAAAAAAGAACGCGGGGGGGCCCTGGCCCGCCGCAGCGCACGCTCTCGGGGCTCGCTCAGCCATGCCGACGCCGTCTCGTTAGCTCTGCGCGCTGCAAACGATGCCAGCCCCGGCTGGCTTTGCCCGGCTGCAGAGGCATCCTGCATCTTTCGGCCCCGGAGAGCTCGGCCCCCTGCACCCCCCTCCGCGCTTCTCAGCGGCTGCCAAATAAAACACATCACTTACTTCGTGGCTCCCGGGGTCCGTCTACGGTCACTTTGATGGCTCGGTGATAGGTAGCGACTTGGGTGGGGTTGGTGAACACGGTGATCGTCAGGGTAAAGCTTTTTCCTAAGGAGGGGAGGGGGTGGGGGAAATACAAGAGAAACGACTTTGATGGGTCGGGTGAAGGTAGCGACTTGGGTGTGGTTGGTGAACACGGTGATCGTCAGGGTAAAGCTTTTTCCTAAGGAGGGGAGGGGGTGGGGGAAATACAAGAGAAATGAGGATTTTTGCCTGGTTTCAGTCTTGTGGGAGCAAAAGGCTCCTGCTGGAGCAAGCTCCGACACAAATATCCACATCCACTGAACTCCAACACACACATCATTTAATTTTATGAGACATTATTGCCGAGACACAAAGCTCGGCCGGCTCCCGCTGGGGTTCAGCTGGCTGCAGCAGAGAGAGGCTTGGACCCGGTTCAGATCAGGAGCCAGGACCTTCCTGGATGGAAAAGTCACTGGTCCCCCACCTCCCCTGCCCTGTCCCCATATCGACCCCTCCACCCACGGCAGCTTCCTGGTGCCTTCCCGCTCAGACGCTTCCCCTTTTCCCATAGGATTCCAGCCCTGAATCGCAGTGCTGGACGCAGGACCCCCTCCGCAAGGGATGGGTTTGGGTCCTAGCACCCATAGGATGCTCCTGTGGGAGCAAGCTGGTGAGGTGGCACCAGCCTGCAGGGGAAACCTGGTGGCTTTGGCCCCATGGAGGCACCCATGCGGGGATGTTTGGAGAGGAGCTGCGCCAGGCTCTCAGCCGTACGAGCACCTGCAGCCCACAGACAGGCCCCGCAGGGCCAGAAATCAGAAACTCCAAAATGGGAACTGAATCTGGCCAGCTTCGGCCACCAGAGAGGACCGTCCCCCTCGCCCAGCCCTGACCGGAGAACAGGAACC